AACACAAGCCATGAGCGGAGCTGTGACTATAAGTGACTAGAAACATTAATTTGTTTTGTTCTAGTTTGGGTAATATAGTTTTACAGCATTTGCAAACAAATAGGCCATATAAGTGCCGAAAATTAAAGGTGTTACTAGAGAGTCAAAGAAAACGGAGGAGAGATCAGGACGATACATGTTTGATAGGAATGTAGTAGTAAACCACACCAGGGCGCCCACCAACCACTCATAGAAACATTGAGTCATGAACAACATTTTGTCAAAAAGTGGCGAGAAACACATCGTCACAAAAACAGTCCCTTATGGCTATGAGGAACAAGCAACACTGAAAGAAAGAGACAGCTGAGTGAACGTAAAAGAAATAGGACCTGCCAGTGGCGCCGCCTTCAGCAACATGTTTCTATGCTTATAACTTTCCGATGTAATAAAACAAACTTCGCTCCTCAAATCACCACTGACGCCACATTAGTACCGTTCACCAAATCCACATAGTTTTATTGTAAAAAAATTTAAAATCTTTTAAACTTACCCAAGATTAAACACTGACACGTGAGAGATATATTTCCATTTTATCAACTCTACGAGATTTCACCGTGTAAGCACAAACACAACGTTTATTCATAATTTTGATGAATGCGTTATGATTTACAGGGGACACTCCAACCAATGCTGTATATCTGTCACGCTTCGGATAGTGAGGTGAGTTATAACAATGGTCTTAGTTAGATCAACATCAGGTGTATTATCATTATCTATAGAGCAATATCACTGTACGTCTTCACTCGTCTCCCTCTTCTCCTTCTAAACCCCTTTTCTTTTTGCAATACAAAGAAGCACAGAAGTACTCACGTCCACTTCGCCTTGATCGATGACGTAGAAGTTGTCACCCTCATCACCTGAGGACCAGAGAACACAACACAATGTTTTACAACAGGGCCAGGATGTGGGAGAGATGGTGCGAGTTTTGTGGTGATGGGGGTAAGGTTTGCTTACTTGCTTGCTGGTTTGTTCGTTCGTGTTGTTGTTACTGGTTTTTGTTTTGTTATCTACTTCTTTCAGAGGGGGGCTCTTTATGGTCCTTTCTTCATTCCTCGGTCAAGTGTTTCTTTTTTAATTGTTAGAGGGTTATAGAATAACAGTAAATGATGGCACAAATTTGAGCAATCAGTAAGTAAATGTAAGTAAGTAGAAACTGCACACATTTTGACGAAACCCAAAAGAGACCCATTTCTCAATCACTTTAACAGCTTGTGAGTTAATTAACTGAATTTATATGCAATGCATATTAAGCAACTCATAATATTGACAATCTACCCCACCGTGTGTGATTACAGGTCATTTGTGGTATACAAAACATCCTCCACTAGAATATAAAATTATTTTAAAATGCTCAAAACCCAGTCTTCGTTTATTGATTATATCCTTTTTTTTATCACCCTCCGATTCCCTCCCACTCTGTTCCTCCACCTAACAATCACGAAATAAAAATAAGCAAAAAATCAAGGCGACCTCTGACATTATAAAACATGGCAAACAAAGGAAACAGAAAGAAATGTTTTCTCTATAAAAAAAAAAAAATAGTGTCGTGTTTAAATGCATACGTGAAGACGACACTGAGTGTGAGATTACCTTGCTGAATGATGACCTCCCCTGCATGTCGGTGTACGGGGAACATGGCGTCAAAAATGTCACTGCGGAAGAGAACAATACATTTTGTTTATTCTTTTTATCATAAGATTAATTACCCCCGTTCAGCACAAATGGATTGCTCCATTGGGGGCGCACTAAGCTTCCTGACAGGACTTCTTTGAGAGCGAAATACAAGAAGGTCCAGATAATTAGAGGGATAATATTTCATCCCAAAAATGAAGCTATCATAATATCACGGAGACATTTTTTACCTCCTGCCAACTGACATTTTTGTTAGATCGAATTAACCTAGGCGGAGCTATCGTTCGGGGAGAAAGAAAACGGGTAAAGCAGATGCTGAACAAAGGAAAAGAAGTTGAAAGATTCGGACAAGAAAACTAAAAGAAGACGTTGAAATGGCGTGCATCGACACCAGACCACTTCAAAGCTAGGGCCTTTCACTAATCAAACAAAAGGAAATTAAGAGATAGCTACGGGGCTCGAAAGACGAGAGAGAGAGAGAGA